CACACACACACACACGTCTCTTTCGCATACACGACGCTGAAAAATAATGCACGTACGAAGGATACACACCTCCACAGTATTGTTTTTGAACTCTTTCCTGTAAAGCTAATGAACAACAGCATTCAACTTGGAAAAAATAAAATAAGAACACAGGTAGCGGGGGTGAGAGTGGGATTTTTCCTGACCCACGCCTTCGTCTTCTTAGTTCGCCACTGACAGCATTTTCAATTGTTATAACTGTACTACACAGCAGCAAAAAAACCCAAAAGAACTGTGATATAGTTACAAAAAAATAAACATTAGGCAGGTTGTAACCAATTTCTTTATACAAATAACTGCAAAAAATGCCTATGTACTCTTAACAAAAAACAAAAACCCCTATCCTTGTGTCGCTTTGTATTCAGAGAAGCCTCTCCGATGAGACAAAACAACCAGGAATAAGATGAATTCTTCCCTCTGTAAACTAGAATATAAAATAAATCAAAGGATTAGAGGAAAAACAGAAGTTTGCATAATGATGCCGTACCCTAAGTCTTCTCTGTCAGGATTATATATATAGATATATATGTATAATGTAGGCCTTATTTCTTTCTTAATTCTCCACCCTAAACATGAAAACAGGACAGTTTTGAGGTTGAATTGTTGCCAAAATAATCACAGATTCTGTGTGAATGAATTCAGTTATAACAAAGAAATAAACAGAGGATCAAATCTGACGTGTACAATTTTCAAATAAATTATGTGGGGGAAAGAAAAAAAACTAGCTCTACCGTTTAGCATGAAAACCCCAAAAGCAACACATTGCTGTAGCAAAGTACACAAAAAAGAAAAATAAACAACCAAAAAGGAAAAAAAATTCTCATTTGTCTCAACGGGCCACTGATTTAACTCTTTGTTCACTCAAAAAGAGAAGATGGGGTGGGGAGGTCGGGGGTGCGAAGAAAATCGCTTAAATTCACATAAGACACGTCACGTTTAAAAAAGAAAAACCGACCGTGCTCATTTTCAGGGGTCTGTCATCATCATTGCACGAGTCTGAAAACAGAGCCGGGGTGGTGGGAAAGCGTGGCCACGGTTTTTTAAATGTTTGTGCTAATCGAGACACGTTTGCTAATTGCAGGATGTTAGGAAGTTGAATCCTCCTGATTCTATGCTATGAAGGATCCTTGCAGACTGTGGAAGACTCGCTTCATCTTTGGCCACTTCTATCTGCGTGTAAATGGAAACGTAGCATAGCAGAAAGAGCGTGTTAAAGTGGCCCTCTGTCTCGTTTGTACTGAACACCGACAAACTTCCAAATATTGAGATCAGTGCCAGCTTCACACGGCTCGGAACGCTCCGTTGCAAACCAGCGTCTCTAGTCTTGGGTCTGTGTGATGTCACTGAGTAGAGAAGCCGAATACAGCCATCTCAGACCAGAAACCCTATCCAGTTGCTCACGATGGGCAGCCAATCACACAAAAGCTAGTTGTGTCAGACAGTGGATGAAATTAGGGGCTCCACCAAGGCTTGTTATTTTGATCTGTGAATCATGCTAAGCTACTCTAATAGACTAAAAGATATGCAGCTAGAAACTAGCAGAAACAGGCTTGAAGTAGGAGAGATGTAATGCTGCTTTACACCAGCTGTACCGACTGATCCAGGCCTATCGCCTAATAAGTTTACATTTAATGAAACACGTTTTTCTGTGTTTATCCCTGTTTGCAAAGAAATCATTTAAAATTCGTTGATATTTTCGCACACCCCTATTACCTTAAATTATTTTAAACACTGATATCCATTCAGAATTTCACTGCATTTAAATAGATGAGAGGAAAAGTAAGTTTAACCACAACTCCTTCAGTGAAACAAGATCAACTAGAATGCATTTAAAAAAAAAATGATATTAGTGACGACTACAACAAGGCTTAAGAAACAAAACCCTTCAGAACTTCAGTGAACAAAGCAAGCAGCTTTTTTATGGGACCTGCACAGGTTTTTATCTTTGAGAAGAAGCTTCCACAGTCTGCATGGTCAAACGGCTACAAGTCAGCATCAGGTATCAGGACAATGAGAGCAAATTGGAGCAAAGATTATTCAGTTAAACTTGTCGAGGCTGCTTTCAAAACCAAAGTCAAACACGCCTTCCCTCGCTCCTGGCTCTGCTTGGATAACAGTGATGATGCATCGTTAAACAAGCAAATTCCAAAACATCAGGAAAGGTGGGATAACAAAAAAGAAAAAAAATCATAAGAAAAACAAAACAAAAAACAAAATCAGGATGATTGCATTAAATACTGAAAGAAATCACTGAAATTCTGTGGACCAGTCTAGCTGTCAGTCTTTGAGTTTAAGCACATCGTGGGAGAGCAGCGCGACTATAAATGCTAAATACGCGCGTATTAGTGTGTGAAGGTGCCAAAACAAAAAGAGGAGGCAATTTGTGCGCCACTATAAGTGTGTGTGGGTTGGGGTGTCACAGGGCAAGTATGTCCAGTGCGCTGCACCTGGGGCTGGAGCTCCGGTTACTGGAAACCTCTTTACGTCACGTGGAGCCGCTGACGAACACCCCGGCATTCATATGTGCGAGAAAAATCCCGCACGTCATCAAGAGCCGCTCACAAAGGGCCGAAACGGAGACGCGCAGGAGGTACCCTCGACTAAAAAGGGCTGCATGACTCCTCTGTGCCTGTATGCAATATGAGGGAATGTGTGTGGAGGGGGGCACATGACCGAGATATGCGTCTTATTGACGTACGGGTTTGCGTGTGTATGTACATGCCACTGCTCACAAAGTACAGTAAATGGTTCACTTGCATTTCGTGTGTGTGTGTGTGTGTGTGTGCATTATTCCTGTGTTTGCATCTCAGTGTGTCAATACTGTACTTTGTGCTTTTTACCTTTCACAGCGTTTGTCTGCGTTTGCTTTGGCGCCACTCTCCCTCGCTAATCTGAACTGTGCTACGGACCGCATGAGGTAAAACTGAATGAAACAAACAAACACCAACTACTTGGATCTACTCAACAGTTATTTGTGCAGAAAACTGAGGAAGATGAACCAAGTGAAACAGCAGGGCGGGGAAGAAAAAAAACAAAACAAACAAAAACAACAAACCCGTTTTTTTGTTGTTGTTTTGTTTTTTTTCAGCCGAGTTTTTGAACCACATAATCAGATTTTCTTGCTGAGAGTTCATTAACAACACCCAGATATCTGTGAAGGCAGCTGGTTAGCTTAGCTTAGCATAAAGACCCAAAAAAAAAGTAGCAGACCTATCCACATAGATAAAGCCTGTGTTTAAACCGATTATATATTCTTTAAGGAACAGTCATGACATAATGGCCTAAAGCTGCTTTTACAATTTGGTTTAATGTGTCAAAGTTGATCTGTTATGCTTTCTCTTATTTTCTGTCACATATGCACACAGTTATGAGGATGAATGCTTATTTTAAATGGAACAAGGTTTCTATCCTGTGTGTATGCAGCTCTTTGAAAGTCAAAAGCTCAGGCTTCAGACTGCTCCAAATGCCTGGTTTCAGACACTTTTTTCCTACTTTTGGCTCTCCATGATGCCATGGAAACCAGACAAAAGCCCCACTTAATTGCTTCTTAAACCTATTAGAGGGGCACCCAATCAGAAGTTACTTAAATCAAACTAAAATGGCTTTTTTCTACTTTTAGCTCTCTTTGATGTCACAGAGAGAAGACATCTCTTATACAGTCATTTCAGGCACAGGAGTCCCGTCTATCTGCTGAAGGGCATCCATCAGGAGAAAGTTGGTTTAAAGGGAGCTAAAATGGGTTGTTTCAAACAGGATGATGTAATAAGGATTATTGCTAAGTGGCTCTAGTAGAATCCAATTAACCAAAACACTGAAACAGAAATTAGCATAACAGGCCCACTTTAACAAGATGGCATGTACTGTTGTATCTCTGTATCTTTATTTGTGGCCTTGCTCATATTAACAATACTTTTATATTTTTAGGTGTATTTTTTTGCCTTTTAGTGATATACATTTTCATTTTTGTGCAAGTAAATCAAAAGACCTGCTATTTTAGTGACTTTCTGTGCTCTGTAGTGCAATATTTAAACACCTAGCCAGCATTAAATGGATATAAATTGGGTTTAAAATTTAAAGTTTGAGCAGAACACAATTTCTTTTCTAACTGGACTTTGTGTAAAATTACTTTTGAACACCTTTTGGCTCCTGTTCTGACTTTCTATGCTACTCCTTGCTAACCGACTGCTAGCTGTAGCTTCACTTTTAAGATTATCAGACTTCTAATGAGTGGATTGTAAATGACACCGAAAACATTGCAGTGTTCGACCAGTGGCCATAACAATTCCCCGCCCTGCTGAGTACCATCAGTCAGAAGAACAAACAAAGTGAAATGTACCGAAACATTTGTACCTGCATTAACATATAAATAATCAGCACTATATAACATGAGGAGTAATGCTTTAAGGTTGCATTGGTACTCTGACAAACCCACACTGGCGCAGTACTGCAGCTGATTTTAGCCCTTTAGAGCAGGCCCGCTCAGGCAATGGGTGCTAACGTGTCGCTGAGGCGCAAGCGCCCTGCTACATGATGATCCAAAGGGTGCCGGTACTGCGTCGTACCTGGGATCAAACGCGATACTCGTACAATGCCACTCTGAAACTGAAACGGGCCCAGCCGCGAGCTTGTACCATTAAAGGGGGTTAAGGAATTAAAAAAATAAACACTTTATCCAATATGTAATAACTGTACGGCATTCAGGATGGATTACACAATGGGTTAAAGAAATTAGAATAATAATAGTAATAGTAATAATAATAATAATAATAATAATAATAATAATAAATGATGACTATTTAAATTCAAATCAACATAAAAAAAATCCAAGTCTGTGCCGTAATGCCTTTGAATTTCATTTTCCCTTTTTTCTTTTTTAATACTATATGGAGAAGCAGAACCATCTGATAAAAAGGCTCTGTGCAGATGCAAGGACGCCCCTCAGCCAAAGTTCACCCTCTGTTTGTTGAATAAGTACGAGCCCAACTGTCTCTGAGAGGGGGCGGGGAAGCAGCGCACGCTGGCAGCGTCGGTCAAGAGAGGGAGGATTATTTGTTAATTTAAAAAAAATAAAAAAGAAGAAGAAGGAGAAAAAAAAAAGGGACGATATGCATATAAAACAGAGGAAAAACAAAAAATGAAAAACACTTTTTTTAAAAACTGCAAGCGGTTTTTTGTGTTTGTTTTTGACATTTTGTCTGCGATCAGAAGGGAGCAGCTTCTCAGTCTCAGTGAAGGTCAGAGGGCACCGGCGTTGGAGGCCAAAGGTCACAGGCTGAGTCAAGTGCCGCGAGCAGAGAGATGAGGATGAAGAGGAGGGGGGGCTGCGGCGTGCGATGAACCTCCGTCGCTCAGTCTGAGACACAGAGAGAGAGGGGGGGGGGGGAAAGCGCATTAGTGAAAACATGAAGACAAACACAAAAACAACAAACTAGCGACAACATGACACTGACCACAGGCAGCCAAATACAAAAAAGAACAATCTGTTTGGGAGTTTGGGAAGAATGTATTTTTTTTTCTTTTCAAAAAATCAAGACAAAAACCAACAACTTCAAGAATTTACATGAAGCTATCATCAGCCTCCAAGTGAACAAACAGGTTGAGATTACGCGTCGTTAAAGGCATAAACCTGTGAGGTGTGGAGTGTCAGTAAGACACAACAGCACAGGTTTACTAAGCATGGGCACCGGGGTAGCTAGTTAGCTCAGGAAAACATGACAGTATCAGTGCCAGATACTTGTAATTGGTATTAATTCATATATTTTTTACTTATTATTTGACTGACTTGTTCCTTCTTCTTATAGTAAAGGTTTTCTAGTTTGCGGGAGCAGCTGAACAACAAGAGGAACGACTTTCCTTTCTGTCTCTACACAACTGAAAGTAAGCTCCACCTAGAAGAGGCAAAAGGACGTTTGCTGTAATTTTTAATTGTAACTTTCTCCTCTCCAAGTATCTAATATGCAAAATACTTTGTGACTTTTCAGCTGCCTCTCCATGGAGGACTGGATTGCAGGTTGGAGCCCTCAGCGATTTTGGGATAGCTCCACATAAACAAGTTCTAGACCTGCAGCTCGCAGAGGATCCAGAGCAGAATGAGAAGCTGCTGTGCAGAAGAGGTACGTCCCGTGGACCGCCACAACAGCAGCCTGACCAGCAAATCAGCCCATAAGAAAACACTAGACTTTCAAAACAAGAGCCAGGGTGGTTTTCCCTGCCATACTTTGGCAACTGTTAAATTCCCTGGCTATACTTCCCGAGTAAAAGTTTATTGTGTGAGAAAATGCTGTCATATATTGAAGTGAGTATCTCTGGATGTGGAACTTTTGTTTAACCTTGTAGTGTTGACACACGTGCTGCCGCGACCAAATCACATGACCGATTTAAGACGATGTAACCCGCAGAACGCTGGCTCGCGAATAAATTCCGTTTTTTAAATTGCGTTGACAGGCTGAGTAAAGACAAGTGAAACCAGAGTTATGATAAACAATTTTAAAATGCCAGCTGTAAGCCCTGTGATGTGTCCTGTATGTACACTAGGTTTAGAAATTTGCATCTTGTATTTGCATTTTAAATGATAAAAGTAATTCGTTAAAACTGTTTGTGGTAAAATCAGCCAGTTGCACACTTGACTCCAGACGGTTAAGCAAAAGACAGGAAGCACTTAAAAAAAACAACAAACTTTAAAGCGTCACAAGCATTTTCACTGCTGTTTGTACAAACAAAAAAAGCAAGCTGGAAAATGAGAACAATTATAATGAGACCACGGGCTAATAGAAAAACTATTACACATTATCACAGCACACACACAGAAACAGGAATGTGTGTGGTTCACTGATTGGAAGGGGGGGGCTGTCGATATGATCTTTTTGGACATTTTGAAGGCTAGCGGTGCCAATTTTGACTGGAACCAGACCCTGTCTGGCTTTGGGCTCAGCCCCCCAAACATTTCTCCAAATCCTGAAAAGGTGGGGGTTCTGGTGGCTTCTGAGGGGTCGTGCGTTGGAAGACACTGCAGGGGTTGCAAAAACACTCGACCCTCTTCTGCCAGCTCAGGAATGGTTATCACCACGCTTAGAGGTTGCCCAACAGTTTGGTAATTTTAAAAAGGGCACGATTAATGACACAAGCCGCAGGTTTACAATCACAGAAGAAGAAAGTAGAACTACAGCAGTTGCACGGTCACAGATCACCGCCTGAGAGAAGCAGCACAGATGTGAGACATCTCTGTCGGAGGAGGAGGGGGCTTGGCTTGAACTCCTCGTTGTATAATAAAATCTGTTTGCCTGGTAATAAGTGTGCGTGGCCGGTGAACTTTGGATTCTTCTCGCTGCCAGCAAACACACACACACACACACACACACACACACACACACTCACAAATAAAATGTTTGTTTCCTGCCCTGCTATCATTGCTGGGTCGGGCTGTCAGGTCGGTTGTTGTGGTGCGGCCCAGCGGCCCCGAATGACCCGTGGCGATGGCCGCCGTCCAGCTGGGTTATTCCACTGAGAGCGAGCCTTTGTCTGACACAACAATGTGAGCAGCATGCCACAATACAGATGCTTTGACAGGGGGCACTGCTGGAATGCTGCCCCTCTGTTTGCTAGCCATGGGGAGGGAGGGAGGGAGGGATGGACTGACGGAAAGGCAGGGATACACGGATAAGAAAAGAAGAAACAACAACCTGATGCAACCAAATTACAACCAAAAAAAAACAAAAGGTGTAGCACACCCTGGAATTCTGCTATGAACAAGGCCGTCTTTAAGCTCCCTGAAAAGCCTTCGGCTGATCTAAAACACTGCAGTGAGAGAACTGACAGGACTTTCTCTTAACTGGCGCCTGTTAGATCCAGAATCAAATTTAAAATCCTCCTCCTTACACACCAAGTCCTAAATGATCAGGCCCCTTCATATCTGATATATATTTTAGTATCAAATTACCCTAACAGAGCACTTTGCTCTCAGACTGCAGGCTTACTTACTCTCACGTTTCTAAACATACAATGGCAGGCAGAGCCAGCTTTCAACAGGAGTGGGTCGGGTTGAGAGGTGGGCAGGTTTGTGATATTTTGCTCTATTGTAGCAATACAGGGGCACTAAATTTTCATATTCTATTAAAAAAAATGTAAATATTCTGGGAATACTACAAACAAGGGGGCTTATCTCATGCACAAGTCGAGAGGCTGTATTCCTCATCAAAAATCACGCTAATTCAAACAGACTGCATGCAACTGCCAGCTCGACCCTGTTGAGACTGAAGTTGTTGAAACTATCTGATGGTGGTATTTATGGCAGGTTTTAGTGATGGTGTTGGTATCCTCCACAATCTCACTCTGCGACTCTAACTTTGAAAAAAGGTGATAAATCAAAATATACAATATGTTATTACAATACTCAACATGTTGCAAAACATTCAAGAAATTCAAAAAAATTGTATCGTGAGTTAAGCATTGTAATAACATCGTATGGTGAGGTGTCTGGTGATTCCTGCCTCTCTCCTATGGAACCAGCTCCTACATTAGACTGGGAGACCGTCTATTTTTAAGACTAACTTAAAAACTTGCCTTTTGATTAAGCGTATAGCTGTTCCTGTCTGAGCCTGGTTGTGCATGGGGTTGTCATGTATTTGCTCATAAGGGTGTCACCTGATTGTTGGGGTTATCGCTCCAATATCGGAGGGTTTTAAACATCTTTGCCAAATAACACCTTAGTCACAAAAGCCTAAAGAACAGCTGACAGCTGCCCGGCAGCCACTGGTTGTGTGTATATTATGCAACCAGTTGGTGTGTGGTTGCTGGAGGTTGCCAACATTAAACTCGTCACAAAGAGGTGCTGCCTGAAAACCTGCCCGTAGTTTATATGAAAGACTTTTGTGCAACATTTGCAAACTACTCTCCAAGCAGTGATAAACTACAGCTCAGAGAGTTAATATTTTTGCAGACAAGCTAGTGTCTTTAGTGTGAACCACAGGCGACTGTGGCAATTTGCTAGCGATCAAAGCAGTCAGAAAGAGTTTTTTTGTATAGCACCCGTCTGTGTGACTGATTTCGCCTAGTGACAGCAGCCTCCAAACATATGTCACATTTTTAGTAATCATATAAGCACTGTGGGTCTGTCAAAATCCTTTGTCTGAATGAATAACACCAAGGCAACGAACAACACGTGGTGGATAGTTTAAAATAAAGATAAAACTGAATATTTAAACTAAGTTTGGTTATTTGGTGTTAGAAGTTGTAGAGGTGAGATGCCGTTTCCAGTGTTTGCATAGGTACAAACCGTGTTCAAGAGTCCTACGGTAATTAATGGTATCCTGCCAGCACTCACGCTCACTTTGTTAAAGTGTTAAAAACAGCCTCACTACTCCTCCTGTGTACAGCAGAGGCAGGGCTGTTTATAGAGATCAGAGTGAGTACACTGACATAACCGCACTATTTTGTACATTTACAGAAAGAAACTGTTGCTGTAATCTATGACACCATGCTGTAAAAACAACAGCTTACTGCTGCCGAGGCCCGTTATTGGCACTTTACTGTCATTTAACAGTAAAAGCTTTCAGACTGTAGTTTTATAACTTATACACAGTAAAGTACAGAGTACACGCAGTATTATTTTCTCCATTGAATGACTAATACTCACAAATATTTCCTTTATTGAACTGCTGATTGTTTCATTCCTTCCTGAAATTCTTAACATTTTGAAACCTGTGAGTTCTGACTGCTTCTCATTTGTGTTTGTAGCAAATGTGCGTTCAAATTGTCCAGGAATTAGAGGAGTGTAATCAGACTAATATCTAAAGGGAGAAGATTTTTTTTTTTTTTAAACAAAGAAGGAAAAAAAAGCATGCATGGAGAGATGAGGAAAACAAGCTTCAGCCACCATTGGTGAACAGCACAGTTATGTGGATTTGTATCTTTTCTTTTAACTTTCTGAAACATTATACTTAACACTACATACAACAAGCTTTGGCAATACTGTACTTAATTATGGTCAACGCAAGGCTGAATCTGAATGTGGGTGTGTGTGAGAGCAAGAGACAGACAGAGAGAGAAAGTCTGAGGTCTCTGGGTTTCTCTGCAGTCCAGGCGTGGACTTTGATCAAAACAACACTCTTAGGACACGAGCCCAACTGACCCGAGCTGACCTTGCTTAAACACACACATACATACACACATACACACACTTTCAGGGCAAAATCAGGTCATAAAAACACCTGCATTAGCTAACAGATTGTTTTGTTGTTGCAACACACGCAGGTGCTCAGATCCGCCGCCCTCTGTCTCGTTCCCTCTGCCCTCGCTGACCCTCAGCTCGTGCCTCTCTCTGTCCCCAAACCCCATTCACCCAGCTGGGACAAGAGA